TCAAACTGCAGCTGCATGTGAACCCCCTGGGGAGCTTGTTAAAAGGCAGATTACTGAGCCTCACTCCGAGAATTTCTGATTCGGCTGGTCTGGGGCAAGACTGAGGATCTACATTTCTGACAAGTTCCCTGGACTTGCTGCTGCTGCTGATGGCCCAGGGACACTATTTGCTGGCCACTGTTCTAGTACACAAAACTGGAATGGCAGCTTGTGTTGTTAATATCAATAATGAGAATTTATTAGGAATCCGGTGTGCCAGTTTCCGTGACACATACTATTTACATTTTCTTACAGTAAGTGAGTTATTACTCTCCCTGTTTTAGAGAGGAAGAGACCGTGGCTCAGTTTCTCACGGGTGTCCCAGCCTGGGCACGCTGGGGCTGAGGCTGGGCTGCTACCTGCAGGGATGCTGTACGCGGAATTCCGTCTCTGAGTGGGAGGTTGCACTAGATAATTTCAGAGTCCTCCCAACTCTCAGTTAGGCTAGCTTCAACTAGCACTTTTAAGCACTAGCACACAGTAAGCACCAACTAAATGCCAGATACTATGCAACATCTTTCCAAGGTGTTTGTGGCCACTGGTCCAACTCTAAGACGCTTCTGGGTCATCTTGCTTCCTCTTGTCCCTCCTATCCTCCTTGGCACCTGCAGTCACCACTCCCCTTCCCCTCCAGGCAGGCTGAGCACTGAGTCCATCCGGATATTTAGTAAAGGAGGCTCTTTGTACACATATCCGCCCCTGCTGTTTGCATTCATGTGTGTTAAGGTAGCTGGGTCACCCAGGTACAGTCCTTGGCACTAAGCTATCTGCCACCCGCCACATGCCAACCCCAGAGAGAGCCTGCCAATCCACTCTCCACACCCTGCGCAGGGCAATGGTGTGGAGGCTGAGAAGACAAAATCCAGAAGTTGGAGAGGAGCACCTTATTCCACAGAATGGCAAAACAACCTGCAGGATGTGCCCAATGATTTTGAATTGGCGACTTCCTTCTACTGCTCCTGCCCGGCCTCCTGAGAATCTGGGAAACAGAGACTCGAGGGCTCTGGGGACCGAGGGCAGACCAGAAGTCACTAAGAGGATCCTGCCAAGCATGAAATCAGGCCTGCATCCTGGTGCCCATCCTCTGGGCTAGCAATAATCAGGCCTTTTCCCTTTGTACATTTTTGTTCATACTGAAGGCTTTCAATTCTAACAGAAACGGTAACAAAAACAAAATGTACAACATGGGTTTATACGCTAAGGAATTTCCACAGCTGTGATGCATGCAAAAGGATAGCAGTAAAGATACCTAGCTCTTATTTCACTCAGTGTTATATTATCTTGTTTACCTTCTCCTGTGTATTTCCAGGATGTAAATTACCTACAGATGGTCCAAGATGTGCAGCTGATTTTTTGCTTCTCAACTTCCAGGCGTAAGAGCGGGAGTTCGGTGGAATGCAAACACTTCTCACCAAAGAGCCAGAAGTCTGGGCACCCATGATGAACCAACCCCACAGTCCTCACTTTGGAACAGCAGCAGGAAACAGATAATTAGCACTGGGATAGGCTGGGAGCCCCACAGAGGGAGGCTAGGAAGGTCAGAGAAAATTCTGGAGAGGTGATCTTGGAGGCAATGAATAGATTTCTTTCTCTAAGAGCTTGAGAACACTTCACTCCTACAGATCCTTTCTTCCAATCAATTTGATCTTTCCATATACTGGGGTCTCAAACCACTTCCCATAGCTTAACGGGGATAATTCCCTTCCGGTTTATAAGGAGAGAAATCAGAAAGGAGTTAAGCAACCATCCAAGGTCTAATCTTTGAAAATTTAAGAATGACCACAAGGTGCCCCACCAGGAACAGACATTTGAATACTCAGCACATACGAAAGGTTGGACAGCCTCTGCCCGTGGGGAACCTGGTGTTGGGAGATAAGACGTGTAAACGTAAAACCAAAGTAACTGTAAAGGTGTCGTGCAAATAAATTTATCCAGGACTTGCTCTCTGCAAGGCATTCTGTGATGTGAGGCACATGGGTAGGGGTGGAGAGAGCCAGAACATAGGTGCAAATAGCCCCAGCCCTCAAGAACTCGTGGTTTAACTGGCTGTGCTGAGGGGTGGGGAGGTGGGAAGAGGAACCGTCTGTGGAATGTCATACCTGGCCCCGTGGAGACGGCGTGGGGGTACAGAAGTGGATCTGGGTCTTGCTGGAATTGAGGGCTGGATGGGATTTGCCTGGCAAAGATTCCTAGAGGAGGGGGGCAATGTGTGATGCTGGAAAATGGAAGACACAGAGAAAGAGCTGAGGAAAGAGTACGCAAAACCTTTTCACATGTGTACTCATCTTGCAGACCCAGCTCAGCTTCTTGCATGAATCTTTGCCAGGCAGAATTAGACACCTCCTTCTCCAGGCTCTCAAGCCACCTCTATTACAAAATGTACCTCGTTGCCATGTATAGCTGACCCTCTGGACCTGTAGGTTCTGCATCTGTGGATTCAACCAACCACAGATAAAAAAAATACTTGCAAAGAAAACTGCCTCTGTACTAAACATGCACAAACTTTTTTAAATCATTAGTCCCTAAATAACACAACGTAACAATTATTTATGTAGGGTTTACATTGTATTAGGTATTATAAATAATCTAGAGATAATTTAAAGTATGCAGGATGGGGCTGGGCATGATGGTTCATGCCTGTAATCCCAACACTTTGAGAAGTCAAAGGCAGGCAGATCGCTCAAGGCCAGGAGGTCGAGACTAGCCTGGGCAGCTTAGCAAGATCCCATCTCTAGAAAAAATAAAAATTAGCTCTGCGTGGTGGCTTGCATCTGTAGCCCCAGCTACTCAGGAGGCTGAGGCAGGAGCATTGCTTGAGCCTAGGCGTTCGAGGTTGCAATGAGCTATGATTGTGTCAATGCACTCCAGCCCTTGTAACAGAGCAAAAATTTATCTCTGAAAATAAATAAATCAATCAATATGAAGGAGGATGTGCATAGGTCAAATGCAAATACTATGCCATTTTATATCAGGGACTTGAGCATCTTTGGACTTTGATATTTGCAGGGGGTCCTGGAACCAATCCCGCGTGGATATGAAACACCATACTTGTTGCCTTACCTGCTCATCTCAACCCCAGGGCCTTATGGAGTCCCAGTACCTAGGAGGTCTTCGAATGTACAGAGGCCAAGTATGGTATTCATGGTGGAGTGCCCCACATTTTTAAGTAAGGAGTGCCTTACTTTTTAGTTTCACTATTTTATTTGAAGTATAACTTACAATAAATTGCACAGATCGTTAGGTATACAGTCCAATAAATTTTTACATACATTTACACCTGCGTAACCACCACCCAGATCAAGCTATAGAAAGCTTCCAGCACCCTAGGCACTAGGCTGCCTCCCTGTACCAGAGTCACTGTCACTGTGGCTAGAGGAACTGAGTCAGTAGGGTTAGGTGGCTGGGGAACACCATCTAGGGGAGTGTGGAAAGAATTTCAGGGCTTTGGGCTGGAGAAGCGAAATCACTGGGGCAAGGTCATTATTGTGTGTGCGAAGGACTAATGTGTACAGAGCAATTAGACTTCCCTCTGTGGGGCTGTGGGGAGCAGCCACAGGGAGGGGCATTTCAGTTGAGCACAAGAACCCTCCTGCAACCAGAGCTCACCCGCATGGCAAGCAGCACCCCAAGAAAGGATAAGTAAGGTCCCCATCAGTAAAGGTGTCAGTCCAGGACAGGGTTGGCAGGCATTTAACAGCAATTATGCGGTGGCCATAGAGGACTCAGTTGGAAGTTATGCCTTCCAGCTCTGAGCTTCTGTGGTGCTGGAGTTCTGTGACAGTGGCAGAGAGGACTCCCTTTTCTGGTGCTCACAGTCTATAGGGATGGGTGGAGCAGATGTCCGGGTGCTCCTGTGAGATGGGACCAGCGCTCGCAGGAGAAGTTGGTTGACCCCGCCTCATGCCAGGTTGTCTTGGGGCCACCCCCTCATGCACCTGCTCAGTCCTTTCAGCCCTCGTCCCCCCCAGCAGGCAGGTGGGCATAATGTCATGGCTCCTGCTACTACTACCACACCTGGGCACAGGTGAGACACTGTAGGGTTTTGCTGCTATTTGCCTCCGGGAACCAGTGACCTGGCTCCCTCAAAAACAGGATCACACTGAACCCACCAGCCTGTGACCACCTGATGAAGGGACAGGCTGGGTCAGCTGCCGCTCCTTGAAGGACAACACCTGGTCTGGAGGCTAAACATCCCCCCACCCTGGCCCAGGCTTTACCCATGGAAGGAGAATATTCCCTAGAACACATGATTTATTTATTCTAGAGGATTATTTCAGAGTTCTTCCCTGGGGTTCTTCTAGGACACCACCCTTCCCTCTCCACCCCCTCCCCTCCTCCAGCTTGTTAGAAGGAGAGAGATGGAGTCTGCGGGCGAGGACACCCTGCCCCTTCCCGCATCTGGCCAGGGCGCAGACCAGATGGGCCGCGAGGGCCGGCTCTCGGGCCCTTCCAGGGAGCTCAGCGGGAAGAGGATGGCAAGTTTTTAGGGCCTTCCTCCTAAAGGGCAACGTGCTTGACCTCTTCAGGTTCTACTGAGAATCATGAATTCGCTCCCAAGAAAAAACGTATAAGGCGGGGCGCCGTCAGACCCCCGGAGTCCATCTGGGAAGCCCCTAGGATTAAGGGGTTGGGGGTCCGGGCTTCGGGCACCGCCGAAGTCCAGGCGCGGGGAGGGCCCGCAGCCCCTCTCCGCAGATGCAGGGCGCGTGGGGCTCTCGGCGTGCCGGGCTCTAAAATGGGCGTCCGGGGCTGCGCGGCGAGCCCGTGGGAGGCGCGCTGGCGGCTGCCTGCGGCGTCTTCCGCAGCGGAGGCGAGCGATGTGGCTCGGAGCCGGCGGACGCCGCGGCCGGCAGTGCTCGAAGGCGCGGGAAGCACCGGCGCCCCGGCGCAACAGCGTCCCGCCGCCGCTCGGCCTGGCGGCCCTCGCCGGCGGCCTCCCGCCTCCCTCCCGCGCCGCCTCCCAGCCCGGCCGGCCCTCCCGCGGGCGGCGCGGCACTCGGGCACCGGGCTCGCTCGGAGCCGCAGCCGCGAGCCCGCCAGCCGGGGCCATGGGCTGCGACGGCCGCGTGTCGGGGCTGCTCCGCCGCAACCTGCAGCCCACGCTCACCTACTGGAGCGTCTTCTTCAGCTTCGGCCTGTGCATCGCCTTCCTGGGGCCCACGCTGCTGGACCTGCGCTGCCAGACGCACAGCTCGCTGCCCCAGATCTCCTGGGTCTTCTTCTCGCAGCAGCTCTGCCTCCTGCTGGGCAGCGCCCTCGGGGGCGTCTTCAAGAGGACGTGAGTGCGCGCCCCGCAGACCCTTCCCCCCGCCCCGCCCGGTCCCGCCCGGCCGCGCGGCTGCCGTCGCCCCGGTCTCCTGGCCCGCGCGACCACCCCCGCCAGCCCCGCCGGCCGCACCCCGCCTCGGCGCCGCGGTTGCCTCCCTCCCCCACCCCGGTCTCCCCGGGGGGAAAAACTCTCCCCAGAGACTGAAGGTGACTTCTGGATTATTTATTTGTCTTCACTCACACGCGCGAGAGGGTGAAACCAGTTGCCACCCCTTCCCCCACCCGCCGCCCCGCGGGGAGCGGAGGGGGCGCCGGAGTTTGCAGGGCTGGGCAGGGCGGGCGCTGGCACGGCTCTCTGGGGCTCGTCGGCGGCCCCGCTGCCTGCCGCGCCGGCGGGGGCGGAACTGAAAGTGCGGTGGAAGGACAGTGGGAGGCCAGCTCAGTGGCAGCGCTGGGTGTCAGAGCTCGCCTGCGGCTTGACTGAGCACCCGGGGCCGGCTCCGCTCACAGCTGACACAGGCTGTCCCTTCCCCACGTCCAGCGACGGGGCTAGTGGGTCCTGCGTGGTCCTGCTCCTGAGGGAGCCAGGACGCAGGTCCTGCATTGGCCCCTAGAGGTGACACTCCATCCCTGGTGCCAGGGTTCCCCTCTGTTCCGCGCCGCCTCCGCATGCCACTACTCCCTTGGCCTCTGCCCCAGGACAGCGCTCCGGTCTCTCCCTGGCATGTCCCCTTTGGATACCCTTGCAGAGCCTCATTCTCCTGGCTCAAATTGGACAGGGCCACCTCCGCAGGGCCCTTGCGTAAAAGCAGCAGGATTCACTCCCTTGGTGCAGCTGGGAAAACAGACACCCAGAATAGAATAGGGAACAGAGGACTTGCAAGCCAGCGGCTGCTGCGTGATTTCCCTGGTCCCAGCTCCTGGCTGAGTGGTCTTCTGAATTGCACGGACTCAAGCAACCAGCTAGCCTGGGGACAGAAATCACAGTTGGACTATCGCAGAGAAACCTCTGGAGGGACCATTCTGCCCCAAGGGCTCTTGCCCTTTGCTCAGTCCTCAAAGTGTCCATGGCCGTGGGTGTTCCTGTGCGCCTCACACCAGCAATGGAGAGAAGCGCAGGTGTCAGTACAGATGGAACTGAGTTTAAGACATGAGCCTTGGGGTGCGATTGTCCCCACTTCCCCCAACTCCTCTTGTAAACTGAAGACTTCTCGCCTGAAGAAGCAAGCGCCCTTGTGTGTTACCAGCGTTCTTGTGGGTTTGGTATAGGATTGGATGTGCAGGAGATTCAGAAAATCTTAAGGAAGAGCTCAAGATCCATTCTGCCTAGAGGCTTAATTAGAAATGAAGATAAAGTATCTTCAAATATCAGAGTTGTTTTGTTTTTTTTCTTGAGCATTTTAGCTGACAAAGACTCCCTTACCTGGAACTTTTAAGAGCATGTGTAGTGCAAAGACCAGGAAAGGGAGTAAGGATAATTCTAAATGACAGGTTGGCAGGCCGGGCTTTGTGAAACCAGCAGAGATACACACCCAACTGGGCCATCTCTTCCTGGACAGCCTCGTGCCTTCTTCGGGGCTCCTTAATCTACAGGCGGCTCTGGTGGAGCCAGTCCTACAGCAGGACACGGCGTCACAGAAAAGAAAAATTGATAATGACAACAGTCACAACTAACTGCATTTTGCACTTGCTTTGTGCCAGGCACTGTTGATTGCACTTTACCTGCATCGCCCCGTTCAATCTCCGCAAAACCCCTGGGAAGTAGTACTAGTACCTCTGTTTTATGCATAAGGAAGTTGGGGCACAGAAAGATTAAGAAACTTGGCCCATATCATGCAGTTGTTACGAAGAGACCTAGCCAGGATTTGGACCCAGGCATTTGTCTCTAGAACCAGATTCTTTGGCAGCGCCTCTTGCTTTGTGAGCATTCGGCTTCAGCTCTGCAGATCAGGGCTATGGATGTGTATCCCTGTAGATACTCATGGGCTGAGTATTCCTGAGCTCTCACGACTCCTGGGAAGGCAGAGGCGGGCCTCTGGGGCTTCCTGCTGGGATCTTTGGGGGGGGGGGATAGGTCCCATCAGTGGTTTAGCTTTAAATTTTGAACCTCAGTCCTGCCCCTTCCAAGACGAAATGTCAAAAAGAACCCATTTCCTTTGATTAAGAGCAAAGCAGGGCTAGGTGAGGTGGCTCATGCCTGTAATCCTAGCACTCTGGGAGGCCGAGGCAGGAAGATCCTTTGAGCTCAGAAGTTTGAGACCAGCCGGAGCAAGGGTGAGACCTGTCTCTGCTAAAAATAGAAAGAAATTAACTGGCCAACTAATATATATATATAGAGAGAGAGAGAGAGAAAAAAATGAGCTGGGCATGGTGGCGCATGCCTATAGTCCCAGCTACTCGGGAGGCTGAGGCAGGAGGATCTCTTGAGCTCAGGAGTTTGAGGTTGCTGTGAGCTAGGCTGACACCACGGCACTCTAGCCCGGGCAAGAACTGAAAAAAAAAAAGCCAGTTTAGTTAAGGTGGCTTGGGAACCAACCATCTAAGGCGAGTGTGGAAAAGGAAATTTTCAGGGCTTTTTTGGGCTGGAGAAGGAAACAACTGGGCAAGTCATTATTTTGTGTGTTGGCGGAAAGGAACTAATGTGGTTCTAACAGAGCAAATTTAAGACTTTCCTTCTTTGTTGGGGGGTCCGTTTGGGGGAAGCAAGCCAACCAAGGGAGGGGCATTTCAGTTGAACCAACAAAAGAAAACCTTCCTGGGCAAAACCAGAGGCTTCAACCTTGCATTTTTGGGCAAGCAAAAAAAGGCCAAACCCCAAAAAAGGATAGTAAGGTTTTCCCCAATCAGTTAAGGTTGGTCAAACGTCCAGGGGAAAACAGGGTTTTGCACGGGCATTTAACAGGCAAAAATTATTCGGTGGCGATAGGGGAACTTTCAAAGTTGGAGTATTGCCTTTTCAGCTTTCTTTGAAGCTTTTTCTGTGTTTGCTTGGATTTCTGTGAACAGTGGCAAGAAAGAGGACTTTCCCTTGTTGTTTGCTCAACCAGTCATAGGGCATGGTGGAAGCAAGATGGTCCGGTTGCTCTGTGAGATGGAAACCAGCGTTTTCGCAGGAAGAAGTGGTTTGACCCGGCCTTCATTGCCAGGTTGTTTCTTGGCCACCCCTTTTCATTGCAACCTTTGCTCCAGTCCTTTTCAAAGGCCTTCGTCCCCCCCCCCCAAAAGCAGGCAGGGTGGCATTATGTTCCATGGGCTTTCCTGTTACTTAAACTAAAAAAACCCAAACAAACCCTGGGCCACAGGTGAGACAACTGTAGGGTTTTGCTGCTTAAATTTGCCTCCGGGAACCCCAGTTTTGAAAAACCTGGCTTCCCTTCAAAAACAGGATTTTCAACAAAACTGAACCAACCAAGCCTTGTTGGACCACCTGATGAAAGGGACAGGCTGGCGTCAAAACTGCCGTTCTTTGAAGGAAACAAAAAAAACAAAAACCTGTTTTTTCTTGGGAGGTAAAACATCCCCCCCAACCCTGGGGCCAGGCTTTTTACCAAATTGGAAAGGGGAAAATATTTTTCCCTTTAAAGGAAGAAACACATGGGATTTAATTTTATTCTTAGAGGGATATTTTTTCAAAAGAGTTCTTTCCCTGGTTTCTTTCTAAGGGACAAACCACCTTTCCCTTTCTTTCCAACCCCTCCCCTCCTTCCAAGGCTGTAGAGAGAGAAAGATGGAGTTTTCTTTGCGCGGCGAGGGGACCACCTTGCCTCCGCATTTTTTTTCTGGCCCAAGGCCGGCAGAAACCCAAAGATGGCCCGAGGGCCGGCTTTCTTTTTCGGGCCCTTCCAGGAGCTTCAGCGGGCACGAGGAGGCAAGGTTTTTAGGGCCTTCCTCCTAAGAAAAGGGCAAACGTGCTTGACCTCTTTCAGGTTTTACTTTTTGAGAATTTTTCCATGAATTTCGCTTCCCCAAAAAAAGAAAAAAAAAAACGTATAAAGGGGCGGGCGCCGTTCAAGCAAAACCCCCGGAAGTCATTTTTTCTTGGGAAAGCCCCTAGGAATTAAAGGGGTTTGGGTCCGGGCTTCGGGCAAAACCGCCGGAACAGTCCAGGCGGCGGGGAGGGCCCGCGCCCCTCTTCCGCAAAAAAGATGCAAAGGGCCCCGCGTGGGGCTTTTCTTCGGCGTGCCGGGGCTTTTCTTAAAAAATTGGGCGTCCGGGGCTGCGCGGCGAGCCCGGTGGGAAAGGCCGGCGGGCGGGGCGGGCTGGCGGCGCGGGCTGGTCTTTCCCCGCAGCCGGGTGAGGGCAAGCAGTTGTTGCTCGGGAGGCGGCGGGATGGCCGGCGGCCGCAGGCGCTTTCGGAAAAGGCCGCGGAAAAAAAGCCCCAACGCGCTTTGCCCCGGGCCGCCACAAAGGCGCCCCCCGCCGCTTTTTCCGGCGGGGCCCGGGGCGTGCCCCTTCGCCGGGCGGCCCTTCCCGCCCCTCCTCCGGCCGCGGCCTCCCCCAGCCCGGGCCGCCTTTTCCGGCGGGGGCGCGGGATTCGGGGGCACCGGCGCTTCGCTCGGAAGGGGCCGGCAGCGCGAGCCGCCAGCCGGGGCCAATGGGCTGCGACGGCCCGTGTTTCGGGCTGCTCCCCCGCAAGCCTGCAAGCCCCACGCTCAAACTTAACGTGAAGCGTTTCTTCTTCAGGTTTTCGGCCCTGTGCATCGCCTTCCTGGGGGCCACGGCTGGTGACCTGCGCTGCCAGACGCAACAGGCTCGCTTGCCCAGAATTCCTCCCTGGTCTTCTTTCTTCGCAAAGAAGCTCTGGCCTCCTGCTGGGCAAAGGCGCCCGTCGGGGCGTTTTTCAGAGGACGTTGGAGTGCGGCCCGCGCGGCCCGCAGACCTTCCCCCGCCCGCCGGTCCCGGGCCCGCGCGCGGGCTTGCCGTCGCCCCGGTCTTTTTGTCCTGGCCGCGGCGACCAACCCCGCAAAGCCCGCCGGCGCCACCCGCCCGCCGCGCGCGGGTTGCCTCCTC